GGCTATTTTCAGCATATTTATACACTTCTTTCATATTCTAGTTATTGAATATGTGTCTGTTCTTGGTATCTTAATAATTTAATCATTATTAAAATAGTAATGAATTACATAATTACATTATCATGAATTACAGTATATTAAAATCATTGTACTCACCTACAAGCTGTCTTCATTAACATCCCAGTTTAAAGACACTACCTCTGACTGTAGCTTTCTGGATGAAACTGTCAGCAATACTGTGGCTTGTGGGTGCTTGTACTGGGTTCAAAATGGCACCAATGCTACTGTGGTGCCAGGCCCACGTGCAGAAGGGGCCTGGCATCTGGACCGGGGCCCAGCCCCCCTGCTGCACCTGTGCTCCGCCCCGAGGCCCCACCCTCGCTTGGCTTCTTCCCCCTGAGGCCCTGCCTGCGCTCCTCTCCAAGGCCCTGCCCCTGCTTGGCTCTTCCCCGCCCCGAGGCCTTGCCCACCGCTCGCTCCTCTCCTCCCCCTCCCCCCTGCTCACTCTTCTCTGCCCTCCCCCCATGCGAGCGGTGGGCGGGGCCTCAAGGGAAAGCGGCTAAGTGGGGGGGGCAGGGCCTTGGGGCAGAGCACGGGTGGAGTGGGGGGGGGGGCGCACAGTCTGGGCCCACAAAAGATTAATCTAATCTTGCAGGTGCTGAGCACCCCCAATTTTTTTGGTGGGTTCCTGAGCCCTGGAGCACCCATGAAGTCGGCGCCTGTGTAGGAAGCACAGCAGGTTTAGCTACTCCTGGGTATGCTCAGTGCCTGCAGGAGACCTCAGGGTGGGGACTAACATTGGACCTGGGTGTGCTGGACTGAAAGGTGGGAGCTGAGCATGGCACAGACTTGGTGGGTAAGGTGCTGGGACCAGCAGTGGGGATGGCTCCACAGGCATTAGCAGTGACCAATTGCATACCGCGTTAGCTACTTGAAATATTGCATGGTATGCCCATCACCCATGATTTTCAATGGGATTTAAGCCACAGAATGCCCATAGTGAAGATGACCACTATTTCCCTACAGACTTTACAGGTGGCAGGTAGTGGGGTTGAAGCCAAAGCCTGAGCAACTTAGCTTCGTGGGGGCCCCTGTGGCGTGGGGCCCCAGGCAATTGCCCTGTTTGCTACCCCCTAACGCCGGGCCTGACTTTTATATGCAGAAAATCAGTTGTGACACAGGTGGGCTGTGGAGGTTTTATAGCATGCTGGGGGTCTGTGTGTGTGTCAGAAAGAAAAAGGTTGAGAACCCCTGGTCTAGTCTCCCATAGAAAGGATAGAAAGGAGCATAAACTCTGGCAAGTCAAGTGTAAAAGTATAATTAGTCAGGTCAAAAAAGAATTTGAAGAGCAACTAGCAAAAGACTCAAAAACGAAAAGCCTCAAGGAACACAAGGCCATTGCGGGGAAGCTAAATGAATTCTTTTCATTGGTCTTCACTACAAAGAATGTGAGGGAGATTCCCACACCCAATCCATTATTTTTAGGTGACAAACCTGTCCCAGATTTAGTTATCAATAGAGGAGGTTCTGGAACAAATTGATAAATTAAATAATAATAAGTCATCAGGACCAGATGGTGTTCACACAAGAGTTATGAAGGAACTCAAATATTAAATTGCAGAACTACTAACTATGGTATATAACCTATCACTTAAATCAGCTTCTGTACCAGAAGAAAAGAACAGGAGTACTTGTGTCACCTTAGAGACTAACACATTTATTTGAGCATAAGCTTTCGTGGGCTCACTTAATCAGATGTAGTGATAATCAAGATGGCCCATTTCAGTCAGTTGACAAAAAGGTGTGAGGATACTTGTTAAGCAAAAGTTTTTCTCCTGCTGATAATAGCTCATCTTAATTAATTAGTCTCTTAGAGTTGGTATGGCTACTTCCACCTTTTCATGTTCTCTGTATGTGTATATATATATCTTCTTACCATATGTTCCATTCTATGCATCTGATGAAGTGGGCTGTAGCCCACGAAAGCTTATGCTCAAATAAATGTGTTAGTCTCAAAGGTGCCACAAGTACTCCTGTTTTTTTTGCGGATACAGACTAACACGGCTGCTACTCTGAAACCTGTACCAGATGACTGGAGAATAGCTAACGTGACACCAGTTTTTAAAAAGGCTGCAGAGATGATCCTGGCAATTACAGACCAGTATGCCTAACTTCAGTACCAGGCAAATTGGTTGAAACTATAGTAAAGAACAGAATTATCAGACACATAGATGAACATGATTTGTGGGGAATAGTCAACAAGGCTTTTGTAAAAGTAAATCATGCCTCACCAATGTATTAGAGTTCTTTGAGGGGGTTAACAAACATTTGAATAAGGGTGACCCAGTAGATATAGTGTACTTCGACTTTCAAAAAGCTTTTTACATGATCCCTGACCAAAGGCTCCTAGGCAAGTAAGCAGTCATGGGAGAAGAGGGAAGGTCCTCTCCTGGTTCAGTGACTGGTTAAAAGACAGGAAACAAAGGGTAGGAATAAACGGTCAGTTTTTAGAATGGAGAAAGGTAAATAGTGGTATCTCCCAGGGATTGGTACTGGGATTAGTGCTTTGCAACATATTCATAAATGATCTGGAAAAACAGGTAAACAGGGAGGTGGCAAAGTTTCCAGACAATACATAATTACTCAAGATAGTTAAGTCCAAAGCAGACTGTGAAGAGTTACAAAGAGATTTCACAAAACTGGGTGATGGGGCAACAAAATGGCAGATGACATTCAATGTTGATAAATGCAAAGTAATGCACATTGTAAAACATAATCCCACCTATGCATACAAAATAATGGGGTCTAAATTAGCTGTTACTATTCAAGAAAGAGATCTTGAAGTCACTGTGGGATAATTCTCTGAAAATATCTGCTCAATGTGCAGCGGCAATCAAAAAAGCTAACAGAATGCTGGAAACCATTAGGAAAGGGATAGATAATGAGACAGTAATATCATAATACCATTATATAAATCCATGGTGTGCCTACAGCTTGAATACCGCATGCAGTTCCGGTTGCCCCATCTCAAAAAAGATATATTAGAATTGGAAAAGATACAGAGAGGGGCAACAAAAATGATTAAGGATATGAAACAGCTTCCATATGAGGAGAGATTAAAAAGACTCAGACTTTTCAGCTTGGAAAAGAGAAAACTAATAGGGATATGACAGAGGTTTATAAACTCATGAATGGAGTGGAGAAAGTGAATAAGGAAGTCTTATTTACACCTTCACATAACACAAGAACCAGGGGTCACCCAGTGAAATTAATAGGCAAAAGGAAATACTTAACACGACACACAGTCAACTTGTGGAACTCATTGCCAGGGGATGTTGTGAAGGCCAAAATTATAACTAGGTTCAAAAAAGATTTAGATATGTTCCTGGAGGATGGATTCATCAATGGCTATTAATCCATCCATCAATGGTCAGGAATGCAACCCCATGCTCTGGGTGTCCTTAAGCCTCTGACTGTCTTTGCAACCTTAATAATGTAATTTTAACATGATTTTTTTTGTATGCATAGGTATACATTTATAAATGTACGCAAACCCACAACTGTATTAACTCTTAAAATTTGAAAGTTAATCTTTATCAATTTTTATAAAAATTCATAGGATGAAGTATAACTCTGAAAAGTTTAGCAATGAGAGAGATACACAAAAGGAGAATGAGCATACATTCAACAGACCTCCCAAATAAGTATGAAGGCATATTGCCAACCTGAATTACATGATGTACAACACATTTCATCATAAAGAGAAGATTGCAGATTAACTTTGATAATGTCCCTAGCTTGTTTCTTCCTCAAATTTTTTTCACACCCATTAAGACATATAGAAATACCATACCAGATCTCATCTGTGGTCTGGCACTTTTCCTGCAGCAAGGCGGAGAAGAGTACTAGCTGGCTCTATGTGACAAACACCTCTCAGGGATGAACTAGATCAGTGGTTCCCAAACTTGTTCCGCCGCTTGTACAGGGAAAGCCCCTGGCAGTCCGGGTCAGTTTGTTTACCTGCCACGTCCGCAGGTTCGGCTGATCGTGGCTCCCACTGGCCGTGGTTCGCTGCTCCAGGCCAATGGGAGCTGCTGGAAGCGGCGCGGGCCGAGGGACGTACCGCCAGGGGCTTTCCCTGCACAAGCGGCGGAACAAATTTGGGAACCACTGGTCTAGATAATACTTAGTCCTGCCATGAGTGCAGGGGACTGGACTAGATGACCTCTTGAGGTCCCTTCCAGTCCTATGATTCTATATGGTATAGTATGTACCACTGCTGGTTCACTGGATGAACAGAGCACTTGTGCAGGGAGTATGGATCCTCTGAACTCATCACCTCTGTTGCATACAATCTCAGGTTCAGGAGTCAGAATCTAGTTTTGCAGCCTTCTTTTCTGCAGCACTGTCATGCCCTTAGTTGCCCTAATTAAGCAAGCTGAATAAAATTAACAGCGTAATAAGATTCAGATTTGAAGTTGCACCTGCAATTTCTATTTGTAATTTCAGATATTTTTCTTCATGGGGAAATCACTTCATATTCAAAACATTTCATTCATGTGAGGGGATGAGCAGAAGGCAGTAACATTTCAGGCAACATGTGCCAACAGGTCAGCTGCTATACAATCCACTATCCTAGAGCTGGTTAAGTGGCAACTGGAGGGCTGTGTCTGAGTATCACATACACCGTTATATCCCTCTTACTTTTATCTTGTCAGGAATCAGATGGGAATTATAATTACAAATAGCAGAGATGTCAAAATAAGAAGGTTGGGATATGTATTGGTTGGAATTTGACAGGGTTAAAGTAATCACCTGCAGTTCAACTGAGACTCAGATGGGAAGTAGGAAGTGCTGTGCTCAAGCTTCCTGTATAAATAAATGCAGCTTTCCCACAGCTACTGCATACAAGCTCTGACGTGCTTTTTAAGATATAATGGCAACATGCTCTTAATAGCAGGGAGGAGATTATTCATCAGAGTGGCGAAAGGGCTGGGAGACAAGTCCTGTTACAGTCCTAACAAAGTGTAAAGCTGTCAGCTGCACGGAGAAAGAGAGGAAGGGTGAGGGAGAGAAATCTGTTTTTTGCTTCAAATTGTAAATCTACAGTGATTGTGATATTATGAATCTTAGGAGCACTGAAGTGTGAGTGAAGGTATTGAAAAGTCAAACAGCTGGGAGTGAACAGTACTCTCCTTGCAAGGTATGTTGGAAGATAGCTCTCTTGCTCTCTCTTTTTTAACCTACTTTTCCTTACAGTGAGAGATTGAAAAGTCTAAATGATTCTGTATATAATGCTTCTCAAACAAGAGAGAGGAAAGAAAAGGGAAAGGTTAAATAACTAGAAAACATTTATGCATGATTTTAACTGAAATCTGTAACCATATGGTGCATAGAACCATCTGAGGCAAAGAGAATTCTTGGATGCTTGGCTATTACAAGCATAGAAAATTAAATATGCATTTGGTTCGCTACAAAAGAATGAAATTAGTTTTGACAGTGTAACTTTTTAAAGCATCTGCATGATGGGTTTGTTTGAAAATGCTGCAGTATTAGGATGTATTTGTGTATGTGAAAGCAGTGGAGAAAATTGCATGATATCATTTAGGCTTATCTACAATAGCTTACATACAATAACTTGTTTCACATTGAAAACATACATCTGAATGAACTGAAGGGAGGCTGGGCTTGAAATGCACAAATTTCCTGCTGTTTTAAAAACATTCCATATGGCACAGCATCATGTAGCTCCTACCGGGAAAACAGACTACAGACCTGAATGCTAAGTATTGGTGTAGTCTTCTAATTCCATTCAGAGTTGAAGGAGACCAAGATTAGGCACGTAAATGCTAAATGAACAATACATGTGGATCAAGTTTTTTACACTAAACAGAAAGGAAAACTGTATGTTTACCAATATAAAAATATAGTGTTCTCCTTTTCTCAGTACAAGGCTACCTCAAAAATAAGGATGCTGCACTCTAACTTCTCATTATAAAGCTCCGTATTATAAAAAAAATATGAAGGCATTCTGCCTTCTTACTGTGTGTATAACCTTTATAGCAAACCCTTCACTGTAGAATGCAAAAATCCACCTCCAGGGAGCACTATAGGTAGTTAAATATTTAGAAGAACTATAATTAAGGAAATAGTGTAACATGGCTTGCCATTCTTTTGGTAAATAGACACTGAATATTTTTGAAGAAATGGATTTAGCCTAGACACAGGCTAGGACTGAAATACCTACATGTACCAAAATAACTTACCAGGAGTAGGTGCAGTAACATGACCTGTCAGGTAACTCTCAAGCTGAAGGTGAGTGCTTTGGTTGGGGCTGGCTTGCCTTAGAAGTCTAAGCATTAGGTTTGGAGTATCTAGATACCTTGAAACAAAAGTTTCAAAATCTGGCTGAGTTGGTGCAGCCCTTTATCTCTTCTGAGCTAGATACATTGGCCTGATTCTTCTCTCACATAGGGTTTGCCTACATAGGAAACTGTATAGCCCCCTCCCCCACTGTCTGGACACTCTTATTCCGGTGTAACAGTGGCTTTTTTTGGTACAGCTTAACCTCCTTAAACCCCCGCAAACGACATAAGCTAAACAAAAAAATAAAGCGCTTTTATATTGTAATTAGAGTGCCCATATGTGGAGGCTGGGAGGGAGTGTGTGTGTGGGGTTATACTGATGTAACTATAGCGATTTTAATTCACAACTTGGATTATACTGAATCTTTTTTCCCATGTAGACAATGCCTAAAACTGTTGTAATTGAGGAGTTACTCCATGAAAGTAATTGGAATTATACCAACGTCAAACCAGTGTGAGAGACAAATCAGGCTCATTTTGTTCCATGCAGTTTACTATTGGTAGGATATTAAAAAACAAGACCCTGTCTACTCTGCATGAATGTTAAAGTGTCTATGGTACTTTCTATATGACTAGAGTTTGGCTGGTGGCTAAAATTTCTATTCTCCCCCTTGTTGAACAGCATATTGTGTGCTGGTTTTCGCCCACAACTCATTCTCCATAGCAGAGACGGCTGCATTTCAGTAATATAATGAGTGTGTGTGTGTGTGTGTGTGTGTGTGTGTGTGTGTGTGTGTGTGTATATATATATATACAGCTGTGAAATGTTCTGGGTGAAAGGTGTAAGTATAAAACACTGGTATTGTTTATTGTTGGTTCTCTCTCTAGTAAGGTTCTTGTATTGTACCCAGTGCCACAGCATATAAGGCCCAGATCCTTAAAGGTATTTAGGCTCCCAATGTCTATTGATTTTATAGACGTTTGGAGCCTAAATACCTTTAAGGATCTTGCCTGAGTGCCTCACAAGTATTAGAAAAGTGAAAGAGCAGTTTATCAGTGTTTTCCCTCCTGTTGGGAGAAGTAATTTCTCCTTATTATGATCCTAATACATTCAAAATAGTCCCATGGCAAGAAGTGAGTTACTTCATAAAGAAACAGAAAGAGCTATCATTTTAAACATGACTCCCAGTTCAATAGAACACCTCAGGCAATACCCATAACACAAATCCTTGTGGCTTCTTCCTGTGAGTATCCATGGAGGGAACGGCCATTGATTTCAGTGGGAGTCCCAAACACAGAGTGCCTAGAAGAGCAAGCCTGTGGAGTGAGGCCTCAATCATCCTTAGAGCTTTAACTTCCCCCCTTTTATGTTCTTTTGGGGTCAGGGGGAATGGAATGTGGGGGATAAAGATTTACTTAAATATGTCTAAAACTACATAATGTCTAGATACGATCCAGATCAGATACATAAATACCTTCTGAGCTGGTAGCATAATGAAACCTAGAGCCATTATTGCAGCCTCACGCTCCTACTTAGTTCACCTGTTCTTGTGGCATCCATCTACAATGTTGAGTCGTCTCTGATGTGGAGCTGGCCTGCGTTCAAAGGGGCTCCCCTGCACAAATCAAAACAGAGGCTACCTTACCTTTCACAAGACAGTGGATGCCATTTTCACAGTACTCCCTCCTCTCATTGAGGAACCCCTGAGGAATGAGGACAACTTGTGCTTGCAGGCTCCATGCTTGCCTAAGCCTGACTGGGCAGTGCACTTTGCTATGGTGAGGAAAACCTGTAGGGCTAGGAACCTAGTTTAAAAATAAGCTGCTTTTTGCAAATAAAGGGAAACACCAAGCTAAACAAAACAGAATAGGTCATATAAGAAAAAAATATACAGGCCGCGTCCAGTGTCACTGGTTAAATATGTTTTCTATTGCAGCATAACTGAGCACCAGCACTGGATTTATGAACCTCCACACCACACAGAGGGAAGTACAAGCTTGAGGGCCATCATACACTGCAAATTTACCCACTGTTTCACAAATATTTGCAGAGTTGCCTGTGCCAAATAATTTTGTGCTGATCCACGAAGAAAATTCAGTGTTCAGTTTTCCCTCTCTACTTCTCTCTCAGATAACTGGATTCAGTTCAGAGGGAACAGAGTGGGCATCAGTGCCGGCAGACATTAAAACACTCGTTAAAAATAATAAACTATATGATCTCAAATCATAAAGGACCGGCAGTCCTTAGTCTGGCAAGACTTCTGTTCATCTAAGGTAAAACTCTCATCAACGTCAATGGGAACAGAGTTAACCAATGGGAACAGTTAACCAGACCTGAGTGCTTCTGAATATTCCACCCCAAAGTGGAAATTTCAACTCATTAAGCAATGTGGGCTCAGACCAAACACAATTACATTCTAAATTAAAATTTCTGAATACCCATTCCAGCTTTGCTTAGATTATTTCCTCAATATATAAGTATCTGCACATGCAAATACACAGTGTTCTACTTCTAGTTTCTTTAATTGTATTGTATTTTCTTAATGATAACAGACTAGGCTTATTGAAGGAGCAGGTAGACTGTATTGTACCTCTGTTTAACAAACAAACAAACAAACAAACCACCACCACCTCTGCTGAACAAATGGTTAGATAAGCACTGTAATTAGAAAGCAATTCCGGCTTTAGACGTGATTCTTTAAAAGTACTGTGAGCCTATGTGTGCTACTAATCCTTGCTGTTTTCATTCATGTACAGTTTTGTGTATAGAATTGTTAACATCCCCAAAGCATGCTGTAATCTAGGGGCTGTATTTTTATATAAACATAACTATAGACTTCAGCATTGCTCTGACTCCCTGTGCCTTTCAAATAAGATTTTGGGACTGATCCCACAGTGTTTACTTATGATGTTAGTGGGATCACTTATGTGAGGGCTCCAGGATCGAGACCCATTGGGTAGGATTTTCAGAAAAACTCAGCGTTGCTCTAATTCTACTCCCATTGAAGTTATTGGTAAAACTCTTATTGATTTTAGTGGGAGCAGAGTTGGGCCACAATGCTGAGCATGTTGGAAAACCCAAACTTTTGTGTGTTTATACACTGCTATTTGTTAGAGTACATCAGTGTGATGCTGTAACTAAGTAGACTTCCTTCCTGGAGGGATCTCTGACATGCCAGGCAGAGGGAGTTGTTCTGCAGGCTGTCTCTGAGTCTGAGGGAGACATGATCAGAGTATACAATTACTTTTGCAAGGAAAAAAAAATCATTGAGCTGTCATGCCCACATTCACTCCTACTTATACTGAAAGTCAATCCTGGTAGAAAAGCTCACAACAGATTTAATTGCACCCTTATCAATCTGCACTAGTAATGAGAATAAACTGGGGAAAGCATCTAGGAGTACAAGACATGAGCCATTAATAAAAGAGAGAACTTTCTCTGGATGGGTGACAGAAGCTTTTATATTGATGGTGGGTGATTTTTATTGTAATACAGATTATTATTTCATGACTTCAAGTGCCTAACTTTAGAGGCTTGAAAACCCTGTGTTTATGACATGATATGATGCATTATTACATGTTTGCAATGACTTCTCCTTTTAAAACCAAAGAGCTGTACCCAGTTTTGTCAGGGCTGAATTTTGTTCTGTGAGGCTGTCTCTATTTATGCTTTAATATGGTGCCTATCACCATGGCTAAGGGGTAAAATTCTTTGTTCTTGTAATTATGGTTGCAGATCATGAAAAGACTGTTAATTTAATGTGATTGCTTTATCTTTGGAGTTTCCAAGACCCTATATGTATACATTAAAACAAAAATACAAATTTTGAAACAATTAGGGTAGATGCTAACCATTTTTGGACAAAATAAATTCCCAGGCTATTTTAAAATGATAAAT